ATACGGTAACAGTTTGTAGCAAAGCTATCGATGTAAGCTTCAAGGTCTTTGGTCACTACCCACGATTCACAGGCATACATGAGGATGGCGAGGCATGAAGTTTGGAAGATCTTGAGCTTGAGATCAAGATGAATTGTATGCGATTTCCAGATTTTTTCAAGCTTCCAGAATGCTGCCCAGGCTAATGCTCTTCTACGGCGTATGTCGTTTTCTGTTGAACCCAGGTACTGGAAGTCATCAACCTTCTGGATTTTTTCACCATCCCATGATGGTAAGATCTCCTGGGCAAGAAGGATCAAATGGCATAACTTCTGTATTGCTTGTGTTTATATGGAGGCACGGTCTTTTCAGCATCCGTATGACATTTGAGCTGTTCTTAGGCTTGGTCCAGTGATTCTTCCACGGTAAGGCAATATTTATCTGCGAAGTCTTATAGACCATTAAGTTTGCGGGCTGGTTCCCTAGAAAATCTTCTTGAAGCGGTGACAAAACCAAATCCATCGCTAGCTTTGTTCATGATCATTGATGATGATAAACAAGAAAGGTGCAAGTGTATCCCCTTTAGTACTCCAGTTCGATACTTCAAAAGTGTCAGTGAGTAGACCATCAACGCCACGTACTGCACTCTTTGAGTTATCATACAGCCACTTGATTGCTTGGACTTCATGTGGGATTGCATAGTGACGAAGAATGGCAAACATCATTGAACGGTCTATGGAATCAAATGATTTGCGAAAGTCGAGGAATGTAATAAATAGTGGAAGCTGTTGATCTTTTGCCCCTTCCATGATTCTGCGAAGAATGTGTCTGTTCTGAGCAGCTCCTACCATTTCTGAAGCCAGCTTGGTTTGCCCTCAGCAGTACTGGGTCCACTACGGGTCGTTTTCCATCAGCATTATCCTGTTGTATGCTTTGGCTGCGATTGACATCAGGCTGATGCCTCTGTATTTACCCATCTGTGATAAGTCGGCTTTCTTTGGCAATGATAGAATGATGTTGGTCTTCTACTGGGAAGGGGCTGCCCTGGAGGTGTGGACCTTCATGGTTGCAGATATCATGGACGATGGTTTGGATGTAGAAACCTCCATTCTTTAAGTGATTGCATTGTCACATCATCTGCCTTCAGTTTCCGCACTTGAGTGTGCTGATTGCTTTTTGTACTTCGTCAAGAGTGATTGTACTGGTGTCTATGGGTAAGTCAAGAGATGCTGCAGTAGGCAGTTCTGTTGTGATATTTAGATCTGCATTCAGAAGGTCCCTGAAACGGTTTCTCCATTTTTCAAGCAGTTCTGATGTGGTGTTAACTTTGAAACCATCTCTATTTGTCACCTTCACTCTTTTAGCGTTTTTCTTTCGTGCCAGTGTATTGACCAGTGACCATGTTTTCTTGGTGTCATTTCTTTATGATGTAGCAATGCTAAGTTCCCTCATTTGGTTCTCCTGGTGCTTTGCCTCATCTTCTTGATGTGATTTGGTCAGGTCGTCTGCCAATTTGCGCCAAATTTTTCTAGAAGCTGGACTGCGTGATATTTGGAACTAATAGCCTTCGCAGCATCGCGATGCCGACGCAGGTCTTCAGTCTGGGAGCTCACCCATGATGGCAAAGGTGATGATTTTTTTCTCCCCAGAGTGTTCAGAGCTGCATCATTCACTGCTGTCTCAAAAGAGTCATATGTGGTTTGATTTTTTTGAATACTGAGGTTTTTTGCTATGACATCAGTACCTCAAAGCAATTCTTCAGAGCCAAATTTAAAGATCCTTTCACTTGTATTTGCTATTGTGATTGCTGTAGTTTGCTCCAGTCATGTCAAATATAATCCAGTCATATCAAACATTCAAGATATGACAAGAGCAAACTAAAGAAACACAGTGGAGCTTGACTCAGACCATAGGATCATCACCGCAAAATTTCAAACTCAGCCTCCAGCTGTCCTGAGCCTGAGTTTGAGCCTTGCGGTGACAATCATATCATGGTCTGAGTCCGCAAGCTCCACTGTGTGGTATGTACGACAGTTTCGGATTGAGTTCAGCCGTTTGCCTCTTATAAGGATGTGGTCAAGTTGGACGTGGCTACCGCTGGAATTCTCCCATACCATTACCTGCCTTTTGGCTGAGGGAATTTAAACTGCACTTGTCGACATACAGCTCAGTCAGTTGGGCTCGATTTCTGTTGGTAAATCACGGAAAGAAGCTTGTCCAAAAATCCTAGAATTGCTTAAATGATTGTCTTGACCAACTCCAGCATTGAAGTCTTCTGCGAGTAGAACCACATTGTGTGCTGGTGCTGGTATGGTCTGGATTGCGTCAAGTAGTGTGTCACAGAATTCATCCTTTGGCTCCTGGGTTGCATCCTCAGTAGGTGCATCATGCAGAGATGATTAATTGTCACCTTTGGGTTGCCTTCAAAGTTTGTCATGATGACTCTGTCTGAGATTCTTTCACAGCATGCGCAAGTGCTTTGCTATGTCTTTTCTGAGCAGCAGGCCCACGCCTCCTTGCCTTCCTTTGCTAGCAGAAGAGTAAAGGAAGAGCCAGTTGTTATTGTCACTCCAGTGGTAAGCTACAGGGTCTGTAGTCAACCACCTGTGTTCTTGGACAGCTACTATGTCGATGTTGAATTCCTCGCATCCTGTATTGAGCTGATGGAATTTGCCTGCTTGGTGGAGGGTACGCACATTGTACGTTGAGATGTTACATTTCTTGGTAGATACATTGAAGGGCTTTCGGCGGCTTGAAACAAAGGTCCAGTTGGTTTTTCCCTGCCGGCCTCTTCATCCTGTTGGAACTAATCCAAGACATCCGTCGTCTATGCACTCGAGATTTTCCATTCTTATCTTTGTGACTTTCCGAAACGAGATTGGTGAGAACGATCTTATTCTCAAGGACTCATGTGGGTGATTAGCCCTACGTAGCCTAATAAGTACATGATGTGATCTGCTTGTGAGGCAGCGATATTAAATCATCAATATCCTATATGATTCGCCTCCAACCCGGAACATGATGGCCGTTGAACAGCAAGGTTTCTTCCGCCCTTACGCTGGCATGTTCAGCAACGTTGAGTGTTTTTAATGTTGATGGAGATGCCCTTGAAAATGGATTCAGTTCCACCAGGGTGTCCAGCGACCCTCCTCATGCATGCACCAGTATAACGCGCAAAACACAACTTTTTTTCAAAGCTGTTTTTCTCGAAATGAGGTCGCGGAAGTTCGGCAACGCACTACTTTCCCGCGGCATATCTTTGGAAGTAAATGAGCAACAGAAATATATTTGGTATCACATTACAAAGCTAAAGTACGGATCTATGGAAGTGCCATCCGACTTGTTCAGATACTGACTTATTTTATCTCAGGATGACGACATAATACATGTATACAGGCAAGATGACGACATCCTGAGATGATTCATTAGGGGATTGCGACATTCTGAAAGAAGGATGACGACATCTCGAGATAATTTATCATGGGACGACGACATCCTGAAAATAGGAAGACGATATCCTGATATAATTTATTATGGCATGACAACATCCTAAAAATAGGATGACGACATCCTGAGATAAATTATTAGGGGATGACGACATCCTAAACTGAGGAAGACGACATCCTGAGATAGTTTATTAGGGGATGACGACATCCTGAAAATAGGATGACGCCATCCTGATATAATTTATTATGTCATGATGACATCCTGAAAGTAAGATGACGACATCCTCATATAATTTATTATGGGGTGACGACATTCTGAGAGTAGGATGACAACATCCTCAGATAGTTTGTTATGGGATGACGCCATCCTGGAAGCAGGGTGACGACATCATGACATACTTTATCATATGCATAGGGTGCATTAAAGCCATCTTCAAAAACGCACAGGTGGACGTGCGGCTTGTAAACAATTTACCCTATCGCTGTATATACATGGTATTTATTTGATGATCAGAGGTCATGATGTCTGTGCGTTTCCAAGATGGATTCAATGCACCCCGTAATATCTCAGGATGTCCTCATCCTACTTTCAGGATGTCGTCATCCCATCATAAATTATCTCGGGATGTCGTCATCCTATTTTCAGAATGTCGTCATCCCCTAATAAACTATCCCAGGATGTCATCATGCCAGAAGACATTGTCTTAAGATGTTGTCATCCTATTATCAGGATGTCGTCATACCATATTAAATTATGACGATATGTCGTCATCCTACTTAGAGGATGTCGTCATCCCCCAACAAATTATCTCAGGATGTCGTCATAGTCTTGCCTGTATTTTGTCTTCGTCCGGAGATAAAATATGTCAGTATCTGAACAAATCGGATGGCACTTCCAGAGCTCCGTACTAAAGAGTTGTTCTTTTTAAATGGTATATAAAACTCAAAAAGCCATGGATGGGGGTCCGGTTATTTATTGGTGATTTTCAAAGCCATAGACATAATAAAACCAGCAGGTCACAAATGACAGCGCCCTCTTTCGTTAAACTATAATTATATTTTTCGGAGGCGCGATCAGTGGATCTGCGCAATCTGCAGATCACGCTCATAAAAGACCTTTCTAGGCTTCGTTGGCAAACTGCACACGCGGGTTGCAAAACTATGGAAGGTCCAACACTGCAAAAATGAAGAAGAGTTATTACAGATATCCAAAATATTATTTGATTGTTGAAAATAGAACGTTGTCAACAAAGCTACATAATAATTCCTACACATGCCTTTTAGCTATGTATATTGATTATTGAGGGCGTTATGGGGATTTGTTTTGGAAAAATATGTTACCAACCACGGCTTCAATTTATGCGCTTGCGGCAGCCCATATAAAATGGCGCCAATGTTTACAAACAAAAGAAAGGGCTTATCTCGTAACCTAGGCTTTTATCAAGCCGTGGGCTGTTTTATTTCACCATGGGCCATCGCGGACATGTAATCAATTCAAAGGTAGTGGAGTCCGATTTTCATTTTCATATTAACAGCAACCGGCCAAGTCTAGTCATCGATGGACTTGACAAAAGGCTACCTGCGCGATCGACCGATCGTGCACGAACTTGCGTGATCGGTCGATGGGGTCTCAATCTGCCGATTGCGCATATCCACAAATCGCGCTCGACATCATTGTTACAGAACTCGATCAGGGAGGCTACGTGTTCCCAGTATGATTCTCGTCGTGTTTTGATGTCATTTTACAGTATATTATTCTTCAATCGTACATCACTGTCGTCAGCGTCCCTTCCTACAATTTAGTTACAAGACTGGAACTCCAACCCTTAACATGAGCTTCTCCAAGAGAGCCTGTTTTTTGGTGCTTTGGTTGTCTTCTGCAAACCTCGTATTTTGCGTTTTGTCTGATGGAATTACGGGCGGCCCAGTCAAGTGCATCCTGGACAGTAAATGTTCCTGTACTATGTCAGACAATAGCGGGCGCTATGACCTCTCAAAGCTTTCAGGCTCCCCAACCCCTTATTTTGAGATTGTGGGTCGAAATAGCTCTGAAAAATTTTATTACGATCCTTGTGTACCATTCTCGATTCCTGATGCAGTCAGCGGTCAGGAAACGGCGTGTGAATATGTTGCTGTATGCCAAACGGAGACATCTACAGCAGAACGGAAAACAAGATACTTCAACATTGCGAAACACATCACGACGGACTTCATTTATCATCCCCCTACGCAGCAAATGACTGTTCACTACACCAATGGTACACTTGTCTTTGCTACTCTTGCACATGTTTGATTCATATTGGGCAATTCCGTAAAATCCAACGTACGTCCCCCCACCACATGATGTACATGTAGGCTACAACTGCACAAAGTTGCGGTTGAAAGGTGGGGTAGTTTGGCGATGGTGAAGTGTAGGCCCCTGTATTGTTTTGATCAAATTAGATCAAAATGTTTTTTATTGCTCAAAAATCACCTTTACAATCAAAAGCAGATTTTTCTCAATTCTAATGTGACACCCTTTTTGCAATTTTGAACAGATTCTTGGTATCGAAATCATGCTTTTCCTGCGCGGTTTGTACCTTGCGACTCGGTGTGCCATGTGTGCTCATGGTACATCGCGCGGTGATCGCCCTCTTTATTTTCGTGTCGCCTGTTGTCGCTGCACTGTCATCATTTTTACCCCCAAATTTCCTTCAAAAAAAAAAAAGAAACCCTGCCCTCTCTCTCTATGACATAGGGCCTACCTGTTTATTGAGAATGTTGCCAACTAGTTTGGTAGGTCCAATAATATTAAAGTGGATTTTGTTCCTTTATAGCAACCGGGCCCTACACTACACGATCGTCCTTAGTTTGGTCTGTAATTACTCAATAGATGTCACATTTTTAGTGGAGTATCACATTTACTTTTCCAACAGCAGCTAGCACTAGCAACTAATCAACGTGCCTGACAATGTCATCCAAATGTATAGAATTGCCCTTTTAAAGACGAGGCCTATTGGCTGGTTGGTTACACATGGAAATGTGAAGCGAGCTTGATAACACCATAAATGTGGCTGAAATACTGGACTTCCTCCGTATGTTCAGCCACACAATCATGTATGCAAAATGGCCGAAAAGGTCCATGGCTAAGGGAGCCGAAAATCAAATCAAGATCGAAATTATTTATCACATTTAATATAATCACCCCAAGTATTCTATAACTGCATAGCAAAAAAACCTGTTGAATTCATTACCTTCAGAGGTCTAGTTATCTTGTAATTTCGGGTTGAATTAGGATGAATTTTGGCTGCCATTGTTCACGAAAGCGTCATGATACATGACGTCATGGGTTGTGATAATCGTGCCCGCACTGAGCATGTGTCAAATTGTGGCAAAGTGCATCAGTGCGGCTGTTGACTGTCATTCAATTCTGGTCAAAACTTGCACCCTTATGCATGCACTTTTGACCATTTAACTCTCATTCTTATGAGAGGTAAATACTGGACATCACAAGTCATTTTGAGATCCACCATTTGTTCACAAGCCACATCAGACTGCATTTATTTAAAGCCATTTTAATGTATTTGTCCTTTCTCCCTACAGATGATGTGTTTCACCCATTCACCACGGAAGTTCAACTGCGCTGCACGCCCAATTCAGACACCTACAACCTGCAGTACCTGCGCTTGACTGACAGTGCTGCATCGTTCAGTCTCAGTTCCCGCTATGCTTGTCTGGTCAAGCCAGACAAGGCAGGCCTGAGCTTTGGCAGTGTGCTGTGCATCCTATTCAGCTTGTCTTTCATTGTCTACTTTGTGGGAGGTAATTTTGTAACATTCTTGTAAAAACAACACAATTTTTAAGTGGAACATTTCTCGTCCGACTTGTTTACTTGAGGCCACTGAAGTAGGTGGTTCTTGGTGGCACGAATACTGACTGACGGCTACATTATATAGACAAGTACACAGTTTTGCGCCCCCCCCCCCCCCCCAAGTGTGTAAACACCTTCAATCATGGACCCCCCTAGTGTCCCTCTTTTACTTTTGACCTCCAATATGTTTTATACACACACCTCAAAGTGGACCTCAGCCAAACTGTGGGCCCTTTTGTCCTCTTTTTGTCCAATGTCCCCTTTTTTAATGTGTATACATGTACACATATCCCCCCCCCCCCAGTAATGTCCCAGCTTTGAAAATGAAACATACTTGCCTTATTTTTTCCCCAGGTGCTTTGGTGCTGGTCTTCATTCAACACAAGCCGCTCAGTGAGTCCATACCGCCCAACAAGGACTTCTGGTTGGAGCTGCCTGATCTGATCCTGGACGGGGCCAGGTTTGCAATGAACGGCTTCAAAGTCAGTCATGTGGCCCACCAGCGACTGGACAGGGTGGATGATGATGACCACCACCCCTACCACGACGACCTCAATGACGAGGAAGAGTTGGAATCCAAGCCGCAACCCAGTGCAGGTGACGTTTTCGATTAAATCCGGTGTCGTGTGTAAAATTGGACTGTTACAAAATCTGGTCTTGTTTTCCTTGGAGAATAATCCAAACACGTGATCAGTTAATGTGCACTCGTGAGGCCCCTTTCAATGGAGAAACCATTGTGCATGCTATTGTACAAAGCAAGTGCCCCGTGACGGATTATCTGAACAATAGCTAGCACAATGCTTTCGCCATTTATGGCCCCCATAAAAAGTTCGCGATGAATTTTGTGGGCGCCCCCCCCCCAAAAAAAACCCCGCACCCTAGGATGAGAACCCTGGCTACGCCGCTGAATGGGATCTGTGCACCAACAAGAGAGAGCGCCTTTTTACCACTTTCTAGATCCCCAGGATGGGACATACCCCATGGACGGGACATACTGATTCACACGCATATAACGAGAAGTTCACATAACTTATTTCGAAATGCACAAAGCGATGCGTGTTTGCGTGAGGGTTAGTTGTGCACAGAGCCCATAAGAGGGTGCTAGTTGGACGGTTGGTAAATTCAGGTAAACACCAAAGAGCTTACCCACTGCAAATAACCCCTCTATTGTGGCAACCATATCTCAAACCTGAGTCGTACGCTTGTGTAAATCATAAGTCAAATCACAAGTAACAAGGTGAACAGTAACAAAGGACCGCCTTTGTCATGGGTCATTTAAACAGCTTGTGACTTGGCTTGGGACTAGATGACTGGTGATGCTGATGTTGGATACTTTTTAAGAAAGTTAAAACCCTCCTATGGAAACATGCATTGTCAGCCTTTTTATTACTTGGGTCAATATTAGTCAAGACCCCCATTGGTTTGTACACAGTAGGCCAGGAGGTGAGGAAGAAAATTTTGACCATTGGTGACCTCTTAAATAGTAGGAGGGTTAAAGAATGTCAGCTTGCACAACTGTTTTTGGGTCACCCTGTACAAATGTGTGTGGGTGGGGTAGCAACTGGCCTCCAGACGCCAACAGGTGCACCTTTTTTTGTGCAGCCAAGCATGGCTGTGCGAGATGACATTTTCTGACCACTCGCAGTTCTAAGCTCTGTTTTTGAGGCAATGCATGGGTACACTGCTTCACATGCATAGGGCAGGATAGCATGAATTTTTCACGAACAGTTTTTAAACTGAATGTACACAAGTCTACAAGTCACTGTCTTTGCCACCATTGAGTAGGTTGTTGAAAGAAGATTTTGCTACCTAAATAGAAGTACATTTGTAAATTCCTTTAGCTGTGGTCTGTGACTATGCTTGGTCGCAGGAAAATAACAATTGATACCAGGGGCAGAAAGGTCTTCTGGATACCCTGTAAGCTATTTCTGACATCTGTTTATGCTACTGTGCGCCAAAGCAAAAACTGCCACTTGGACACCCTGTTTGTAACTTCAAAGCAAATATTAAATAAAAAAAAAAAATATTCAAATGCAGACTGGTAATACCATGGTCAGGGGATGACAGGATTTGTACTTCCATGCACGCTAATTCAAAAAGATTTTGTAAAAGATGACAACCACACACGTGATCCACGGAGGTGTCTATCACACGCTCATGTTGTAAGGAGGAACAGCGCCCTCTTGTGTCCACACATAGAGGCTTTATTAACAAGCCAATCTTGTTTTGACACTAATCCAAGCATCTCAGATGGAATAACTTGTCGGTTTTTAAACCAAGTAAGTTGCATGTATTTTTTTTTTTCACTTCAAATTATTGCCTAATTTCCACTTTGGTAATGGCTGTAAAATTGCATCTCCATCTATTTAATTATTTCCATTGATTATCCATTGTTTGATGCTTCATTTCATCATTGCAATCAATTTAATTGTGCATTCCATGTTCATCTTGCTACATTTTTCCATCCTTGACCGTCCAACATCTAACACAATGTTATGCCAGCTCTTATGTAATAGTTTGATAGTTAGAAAGGTGTAGGTCTTTAGGGGCCAGCCATGTTCTTGAAGTTTGAGTGATTTAAACCTAAAAATACAGCCGTGAATACTTTATTTTGGTCACCTGGGTGTTGGAGTTTGTCATTTTAGAAAAGGTCTGCCCGAGGGATTATGGTTAAACATTTCTCATTTTGGGTAAAGTTGATGAGGCCATATGTTGAGCACTATAACAACGTTATTTCTAGGTACATGTACATGTAGAGGAAAATACATGTTTCACGTAAGTGAGTCACTTAACTTCTAACAGTGATGATTATATTGATGTAAGTTTGAATTATTGCAACATGTAAACTTACATCAGAGCCCTTAGACTCACGTCCGTTTTTACCCCAAAATTGTGGGAACCAAAATTGTGTCATTAAAGGGCCTCTTTCACTAAAAAAAATGTGGCCTATTTTCACTTTTTTTTTTTTCCCATTTGGTGATGGTGCATGTGAACAATACTTCTCTGAGAACTTGCAAGGGGGCAGTGAAGATCTTTTCAATTGTTTTCAGTATTATTTCTTAATTTATCATCAATTTTGGTTTTGCCCTGCAGAATAGTTGGTCTCTTCAAAAGTGAAAAAAATCCTCCCCCCCCCAAAAAAAAAACCTTGAAGAAAGAGACAAAATATTTCTTTTGATCATTTTATTTCTGCACCTCAGGCTTTGGCTGAGAAGAACTTGCTATCTTGGTGAACATTTTCAAACTCAAAAATCTAAGTTAAATAGCAATACCAAACCCAAGGTGTCATAATCATTGCACAAAATTTAGTGAAATTCCTCAGTGAGTGAATGTTGCTGAACTAAAATCAAGAATGGCTTTTGAGAATAAAGCTGTCAACATGAACACAAAAAAAGTAGTTTCTTATTTATTTGTGTTTTTTTTCTCCCTTCAGGACCCCCCGAGTCATCGGACGGTTTCACAGCAGTCCCTGTGTGATGCCCCGCCCACGTTCTTCCTTAACCCAATGTGATCTACAAGAAGTGTGATGCCCCGCCCACTTCCTTCTTGAACCCAGTGTGATCTACACATAGGGTGATACCCTGCCCGCTTTCTTGCTGAGCCCAATGTGATCTAGAGGAACTATACATCCAGAACATGTGAATTTCTTTCCCCAGCTTAATAGGTATTAATTGTTATGGACAGTGTATATGTCTGCATGTATATTGTCGAGTGTATCGTGATGCGTACTTTTGCTTCCAGTTGTATTTAACAAGTGACTGCATTATAATCAGTGGCAACCTACCCTCTACAACAGATAGCCCCATAAATGTGGCCAGTTTACTGGACTACCTCCGTAAATAAAGGCCACACTTCTACCATGTACAAAAACATGTCGAACTTTGTCAAATTTAGATTTTCACATTTAGGCTTAGTTTATAGTTTATTTTTGCTTTAGAAGCATACTCACTCTCTTTGTAGGCTAATCAGAAAGTGCTGCCTTTTTCAGATCTCTATTTTTCATGAAATTTCATGTTGAAATTTTGATACGCAAATGTGTGCAAAGGAATCTGGAAATTTCACGAAAAAGAGACATCTGAAAAAGGCAGCACTTTCTGATTAGCCTATAAAGAGGGTGAGTATGCTTCTAAAGCAAAAAAACCCTACAAACTAAGCCTAAATGCGAAAATCAAAATTTGGCAAAGTGCGACACGTTTTTGTACATGTTCCAAGTGTGGCCTTTATTGAGGCTAGACAACAGACAAATCTAGGATATTTCGGATCAGAGGAACCGTTCTTCTTCCTTAGGTTATAAATTAATTTGAAGGATGATAAAATGGGCCTTAAGTTTGATCGCATGAGTGTGCTTTTTTAATTTTTTGTCACGTGCAAGCAGTAACCTTCAAATTTCCTTAACACTTTATCTTTCTGCTGCAAAAATGAGCAAAAAGTTTGGACTCGGGACCCATTAAGGTGTTATTCCTCTGCAGTAAGAAACACGCTGTTGTGCTGATTTGCATCAATTAAAACAATTAAACTAAGTCCATAAAATGTCTGATTTCAGACAAATCATGCATGCGTTTCTAGGGTTACATTCTAAAAGTGCTCTAGAACATCAATTAACAAAAGTTCAAATGTGGTCCTATGTGAAGTGAAGATAAATAATTATTAATTATTACCATGGTGAATCGGTAACGTTTATAACTATACACCTATACTTGTAGACAGGAATGAAAAATGTTGTAGGCATGTACTTTGATTATCGATTGACCAAAAATATATTGAAGCAAATCGTTTATGGATAAATGTGCAATTTAATCAATTTTTAGAAGGGACAAATCGCCCATTGACTCTTAAAAAGACATGTTGTTACGTGCGCATGTAAACATTGTGTGAGCTGCATGTACAGTACATGTATAGTAACATAAATCTGAATGGGATGTACATTTATAATACATGTGCATGTAATTGTTTGTTTTTGAATTGTCAGAGAAGTTTAAAGCATTTTACTTTCTTTTACAGTACTGGTAGTTCTTGTGTGCTTTGACTAATGTCTGTAATTTTAGCAACAACTGTGATACGGCCAGTAATTATGCAACCATAAAATCAAACGTAATTTGTTGAAATATAGAAATGATTCAATATTCCCTTGTGCCCACAGTTTAATTAATAAAGTAGGGACTAGAACCTCCAAATGATTTCTTTTTAATGAGAAAAACCTACATTGAAATTTGCTTGTCAGAGCAAAGAAAAACGTTAACTGAATCAATTTGAACGCAACTTGCTTCCAAACTTAAAATAAATGGTGTACAGAGTTTACATGTTAAATTCGGTAAAGCTACTGTAATTTTGAATTGTGCAAAATATCCTGATTGTCAGTGTCATGTGGCTGTGATCATTTTAAGAGTTCAATTTATTATCTTTGGTGAATTTTAGAAAGCAGTTTTAGTGGAGATGGCACATGTTGAGGTTCAAGTTGAGTTCGTAGGTGGTGTATATTTTTTGGTTTGGATAAGGGTTAATATGTTTATTTAAGCTTCTCGTGTTTATTTAATGCGTCTATTGTGTCCAGTTTGATTGAAATACTTTACCCAATTGAAATGTTGTGCAATGTATTTATGTTTTCCTGAGGTTCATATACATTTGTGATTCTGTGTGTCTGAAAAGATTTATCAAGAAAACATTCCAAACATGTTCAGATTTTACACTCAATACTACATGTAATTGGAAATGTGCAATTCGGATTTTCGTTTGTGAAAGACACCCTCGTTTCTGATTGCAGCTTTTTAACCAAATCCTCTACATCCTTTACAATCCGAATTAAGGAAGGTAGGGCCCAGTCACTATTACCGCTCTTACGGCACTATTACCGCTCATAGGGCACTATTACCGCTCATAGGGCACTATTACCGCTCATAGGGCACTATTACTGCTCATAGGGCACTATAACTGCTCATAGGGCAATATTACTGCTCATAGGGCACTATTTTTGCTCATAAGGCACTATTACTGCTCATAGGGCACTGTAACCGTTCATAGGGTGATAATACTGCTCACAGGGCACTATTATCGCTCTCAAGTTAGGGCACTATTACCGCTCATAGGGCGCTAATACCAATCATAGGGCAGTATTACAGCTCATGTGCCAGTGAGTATGTTGGAGGATTCCTGGAAAAATGTGAGTTTGGTTTAATTACAGCACTTTGTATGAAACTTTAAAATGTCATCTTTGGTGTGGAATGAGAGTCTAAAGGTTAAGGGTCAAGGTCAAAGGTAAAGGAAAAATAGTTACTTAATGTTCAAGGATCTCAGGATCTAGAGTGATATTCAGCAGACGTCATGAGTTATGTGATATTCTGAACATATTTAAATTGATAATTTCGTATTCTTATGTTGCATTCAAAAGATTTGAAAATTGTAAGTTGGGATTTTTAATTATTTAAATTATACATTTGTAAATTGATAATTTATTCAAGCCTTAAAATATAGCTGAAAAGAGAGTGAGTATAAATTTGCAAATTGACGTATGTTATTTGATTGTAGCCTACATGTACATGTACATTGTAAACGTGCAACATTGTTCATCAGAATATGTGCATCAGTCTCATTCATTGTGCACATGAACTTGATTGTACATCCAACAAGTAACAAACTAGCTGGGCTATGTATAGTGTGTGCTATGGTCGACTTGCAACGTTTGGATTATCGCAGTTTTTGATGACACTTGTACTAGTTTAATTATTGTCTCTCATGTGAATTGTGAAACCCTTAGATAGGTAGACTAATTATTAGAACATTTTTATTCCTGTATTAGAATTTTATGATCTTGTCAACAATAAAAACTCATCAAGAGTTTAACCCCATGTTGTTGTTATTACGGTGTTCGGATACCACAATTTAAAATTCTTATTGCAGTCTTTTGAATCTATTATTTGACATCAACACTAGCAGTTGTAATTTTACAAAACTATACATGGTGACCGTAAGGCAATGGCAAAATTCTGCTAGATTAAACAAAAATCTGCTAAATCACCTATTACACGAAATACATTGTAGACACAAATACATGCAGATGTAAAATTTTCTAAAAACAAAAACGACAAAACTTCCTGTAAAACAAACAAAAAAACCCTTGAAAAACACGTTAGGGAACCTTAAATTAAAGCTTTTTCAAAACTAATCAGCTATATTTTTCAAATATGCAATAAGTTTCTGTCAGATCACCAATTTTACAGAATTCTGATAGAAATCTGCTAAGAAATCATTCTGCTTAATATTCCGTCAAACTCGTTTTGCAATTCAGCTAAAACGGTCACTCTGAAACTATATGAGATTGCGGCGTGAGAATATGTTTTTAAACGGATGAGGGCGCTGTAGCGACGTCATTTTGTAATACACCGCCAGGTCCAACCTCGTCCCCAGTGCTTACTTTATTTCCAACCTCGTTTCCAATAGTAAGCCCTGGATAGGAAACTTTTTTCCTGTATCCTGATTCGATACCGCAATTTGCTAATAATGGATTTATATCGTGTAGTTGGTGTTGTTATTTCCAACTTGCATTACGTGTTTTCACGACCATTGTAATTACAGCGTCCCCACCTTTTCAATAATAATGGCAGTTCCAAATATAAAGCGGGTATGAAATAGGGCCTGGAGATAACAGGTCTTGTGAGTACATGTACATTAATGTCCAAAATCCAACAAAATTACAGTTCTTTCAACAAAAATATTGTTTTATTGTACACCAGTCTGTATGCCAAGCACAATAGGACAGTGTGAGCCGATTAAGAATAATACTACGGATATATACAGAAAAAGTTTGAGGTCTCCCAAAATACAATGAAGATTGAATTGATTATCACCGAAAAAGCAGCCTCCTCTCCAATTAAAACGACCTGAATAGTGTGGCAGACAGCAAGTAGCTGGACAGGAAAATGTCGACAAGAAGCTGAGTGGCAACAATCATTTATGGATGGTCACAGAACAGCAAACATTCCTTATTTTATATTATTTGCTTTTGGAGAGACATTATAGCAACAAATTTGGCAGACCAGGGACCACTGGTTCTTGAGTATGATTTTTATCATAGCATCATTATTTGAACACACAAAATATACCTTGATCGGACGTATTTTATTATAAAAACTGTATCCTGGGTACATGTATACACAACTAGTGAGGAAATTTCACAAGCTAACTTGAGTGGGACTCGAACCCACGACCTTTGATTACTAGTGTAGACGCCTTACCACTCGAACACCAAACTTGCTGGGGGTTTTTACCCGGTTCGAATCATTATAACAGCGGGTACCGCCAACAAACTATTTATTAGATGATATTTGTGTCTACTTGACAAAAATTTCAACTAATAACAACAAAAATAGGTCACCCAAAGGAAGAAACCAACCTTGTAGAATAAAGCAAACACTCCATAACTTGCTCCATATTTCCTGGCTAAATCTACGTCTGATTTTCGGTGGGGATCATTCAACTTTTAAATAATACAATTTTAAAAGAAATAGTTTCTACATGAATGCTTTTGAAATGCTTTTGGAAAAAAAAACTTCAACCTAGATTTAATACATGGATTATGTACTAAAATTTGTGGGGGAAAGAACGGACAGGTGACTACTCAGAATGTCTCATTATACCAGGTAAAATAAACAAATATACTTAGGGGATTAAAGAGAAATGCATCTCTAACTGCAGAGACAATAAGATACGCCAAAATAACAAATACAAAATAATTTCACACTTGTATTTACAGTAACAAATTAATAAGTGTAATTTTGGGATTTGATGACACAAGATACAGGGTCATAAAAAAAAATACTCCCAGGAAGGAACAGACATGGAGGGGCTGTGTCTACAAACAAGGCTGTGACAGTGGCTTTGATTAGTCTGGTGTCCCGACCTGATTTTTCCACTGAGGGTACAACTTTGGCACAGGCACCTGCCTAAAAGGTGTCTAAGGCTGTGGAAAAAAGTGTGGCTATGCACAATGTCCCCAATGTTATAGTCACAGCCGCAGATTGCCACAGACAACACCGAGACTGCTCCAAAATGGATCCAACTTAAGTTGGGGACTGGTACAGTTCCCCGTGTCGCTCTGTTTGTTTTGACACCTTAAGTGCACCATGGCATCAGACTTGAGAGCAACGATTGACACACATTAAACCTTGCAAAGACAGTTTTTTTCACACACTGGTTTTGCATATAAAAAGCACATTCTTTACAAGTAATTTTATCCATTAAAAAATACAAATGTCGATGCCAAACTATTTCCACCCGATTCTTGTTCAGGCAAAACAAAGGATATTATGATCAAATAAATTAATGAACAATTTCATCGAATGGCGCTACTGATCAATTTAGAGAAAAATTCAAGTATCAATTTTCATAATTCATCTTGGAAAATTTCATCAAATGGAGCTCCGAGATATTACACTGATCAATTTAGCGAAAATTCAAAATAGCTATTTGTATCATTCATTTTGGAATGGGTCATGTACTTCTCGAATGAATTCATTAACTGCCCACAATTTCCCGAAAAGGAACCAATGACACTTTTTCGATGAAAAAAAAGTCTCCTAAGATTGCACCATATCAGATACTAGAAAATTCAACTCAGATTCAACAACAATAAGGCTTGTAATAAAAGCATAATGTGGATTTGTAGACCAATACTTAAATGACTAAACAGTGAATACACACCCATATGTGATGTTAACATCGCACCATTATTTAACAAAACAAAAAAAAATCCCGATTTGTTATCAATATCAGCACATCTGAATACAATCAATATAAACTCAGAATTTAATAGACTATTTACACATCGGATTAGTTTTTAAACTTCCCTACATTAATTTACAGGTAGCTATTTATAGGACAATGATGTCATCACTATTGCTGGAAGGTAGAGGTCAAAGGTTATTTTAATTTTTTTTAAAGTATCACCCAATATGCATTAAGATTTTTATGTACGGTATGCTGGGTTGTCAACAGTTGAACCGCTCAACATAAATGCATAAAAGGTTTTTTTTTTAAAGCAACATTAAAAGAAACATTTTGTTGTTCGAAAAGAGTGTATCTAGGCATGTGTACATGTCAGATCTTTAACTTGCATTCATGACCTGATCTTCTTTTACTCCAAATCTATTGCAATATTTCTGAGTGGTCTCCGTAACTCTTTTGATTAAATAAACTGCCTTAGCCAGAAGGAATCAAGCTAAATGCAATACCATTGAGGATAGGTAGGCTTGTAGGCTAGGATTGAAACGTTAAGCCCTCACACTTTTTTGATTTGTACATTTCAGGTCAATCCAGTCAGTAAGCAGTTTGCAGCAGTTTCATTCATTTCCAAACTTGCAGTTAAAGCGGAAAAGCTGTTCGATAAAATTTTGGGTTACAAAACCTTACTTCGGTCTACTTTTGTGATCATGTTCGCTCGTGACCTCTGGATGACCTTTTTGTAACCTTTGACCCAGCTAAATACTCAATATGGAAGGGAAAAATATCTAAGGCTATGAGACTAATGCCCTTAAATAAAATGGTATACCACTCAATTTACAAACTCAAAAATGTCTAGTAAATGTTTACACTTCTTTCCGTAGGGCTTAAGCGGATAAAAAAAATGCGTTTATTCAAATCCATCTATCGCATCAAAATGGCCCACTGCAAAAGTAGTGTTTGAACTACAGTTCACATGTGGTGCCAAAAAGGGGCCAGTTGCACCCTGATGTAGCAAAGGTTAAAAAAAAAAAACCAGTACCCAGATTATAAATAAACTTCAGGACAATATCATGTTTTTATCTGCATTCACGGTACAGCTATGAAACTATCGCATATCAGCCACATCAACAGGCTGAGAGCACACGACCCCTAACCCTACAAAATCTTTCAAACTCCCTTGGGTTAGGATTTTGCAGGATTGAGGAACGTACAGCCCAACCACTATTGCTCTTCATGAGGTTTGACGTCGCCTTGAAAGTTTTTAAGTACACAGATAGTGCCACTGCTTTCTATACAGCGAAGGATATTGGAGGATTTTTCCTAGCGATAGAGCAAGCAATTCTCACCAGTCCACGTTCACTTTTTATGCGAACGTCTTGGTATCAAACACTGACTAGTCTAGTCACAGACTCCCATGTTAGAATTTACCAAAGTCTTATCTGCATGATCAATTAAACAGAGGACAAGGTCAAAATTTCTCATTTGTTTTTTATAGTCATCAACTCGAAATATTTTCAGTATGTTATAAATTGAAATGCTTTTTTTTTAAGAACCCATTAAAGACACAAAATAAATGCAAAAAAAAAAGATGTTACACAATTTGTAGATAGTGCCTGGATGTACTGAATTCCCGTAAAAACTTGCAGGTTTTTGAGGTGGACTTGCAATGCATGTTCTATAACACACAGGAAGTAACAAGATTAAAAGACTGCAATGCATGATCAAGGTTCAGCGGCTACCCAACTTGAATATGGCGCAACAGCTGTGACAAGTTTTGTCAGAGCAGATATTTTTGAAGACACAAACCACAGCCAGTTTACAAAAATACTGATTAAGTGTTGTCATCAACGGTGGTATTGGCCAGAGTGCCAGTCCCCTCAACAGAGGGCGCTGTTTGGCAACACGCACAGGCTTTACACCACTGTGTGTAGCGGAAAGTTTGGCATATCCCCGATAGTCTGCATGGCTGACGGTGCTAGGGATGCTACATGTGTCTTATGTGACTTTGTAGTGTTTTTCACTGCTGCAGTCAATTTAACAGTTCCCATTTAAAGGAGATCACCGTTAGGCTGAGGTACTGAGGAGGACAGCTACCACTGGAGGGCGCTGTCATCATACGATTCCATCCTGTACAGAATGTCGCAGCAGAAGTCATTTGAATTTCCTCTGATTGTTTATATGCTTCAAACATATTGAGGAAAGTATAACTCCTCGATGTCTTGTTCAGGCAACTGGTGGAAACCTGTCAATAGAGGGCAGTGTGCACATTGACCACATAAATGCATTTGCATCCAGGCAGTCGCAGACTGACATAATATTGCCAACAGAGGGCAGCATTCGAAACTGCCACCATCCAGAAGACGAACTTCCCTGAAGCGTCACATCCCACACTGGCATGAATCCACAATTGGCAAAATCCTGTCAACTGAGGGCGCTGTCCACATTTCTGTACTTTAATCCTACCAGGAAATTTGCCACACGAGGGGGCTAGAGCAAGCCTCAACACCAGTCGGCTATGTAATTGAAGTCCTTGAAGTAGTCCTGCTCATCCTCAGTGATGGAGCGAGGATCGCGGGCCGGCGGGGTTAGGATGGGACGTTCTTGAGTAAACTCCTCGTCAAAGTTACTGACGTCTTCCGGATGGGCCTACAAGGAAGAAAAAAAACAAGTGAATCAAAACTAAAAATAGTCAGTGCCGTAAATTTTATTGTAAACAGTGGTTGAGGAATCAAAGTAACATTGCATTTATTCCCTGATGAATTCATGAATCTACACAGAGCTGGGGTTGTTCAGGGTGGTACAGGCAGCAACAGGCAGGCCGACATACGGCAGAACATAGACTGAAGGGTTACAAATTGTATTCACTCTCGACAATAAATGTTCTCACTCAATTAAGTTGGGGCCACAAAGTAAAAATATTGCAATAAGTTGTCTTGTTCAAGGACACACGAACATTAATCCAATAGAACTAATGCCCAGTGGCCATAATAACAGGTGTCTTTTGTTATTTTCATGAAGAATGAATTCTGAAAAAATGAATGAATTCTGAAGCAGACTCACTATATTTGGTGCAAAAGGCGGCGGTGATTTTCGCATCAACAGCTCCTCCCATTTCACATTCTGAAAGAAAAAAAGAAATTTCGTATAAAGATATAAATAAAACATAACTATTATATCAATAATATAAATATTATCTCATTATAATACTGGAGAAACTCAAACACAAGTGAAAGATATTGACTGCTTACTCTGAAGAATGCCTGTTTCTTGACGTCCTCAGCGTCTCGTCTACTGGAGCCAAGCCGCCTCTCTGGGTTACGCCTTAGTAACTGTCAACGAACAAATACAAAATACTTAAATGCAGTCCTCAAAAGGGAAATATCTGTTGTCCTGTCTGCAATGTTGTGTTAACCCTAACTCCCTAGGCCTTTTTGCTAGAATGTAGCCTCAATCCTGCAAAATCCTCTAATTGGCCTCATGGTAAAAATAGCATATAGCCTCAATTCTGCAAATTCCTCCATTATTTCTTGAATATGGTCTGTGGAGGGGTGACCACTGCCTGAATACTGCGGCAGTGACTGTCAATATGTTGAGGCTTGGCCAGTGACATCCTGGAGCAGTACGGATGATTTCAAGCCTAATCCAGGCCTATATTAATGCATGGCTGGCTGTCAGTCAGTCCGTCAGGTACAAAGTGTGGGGGGCTTTTAATGCATCGTTCTATTACACCGCCCTCACATGGTTGTGCATTAGAGCCTTACACATCATGGTTGTATCACTCACCCTTCTCATGATGGCGATGGCTTCCGTTGAGAGGAATCGTGGGTAACGGACTTCATCGTTGACGATGCTGTCAAAGACTTCCTCTTCATCATCACCAGGGAAAGGAGACTGCATGGGAGGGAAACAAATTAGTTGAAACAAAAACTATGTAAGATTTGAAGCATTGCATGGTCAATAGACCAATCTAGTAAGCCCTGCCCCTATGATGTTTGGCCAATCATGGCCATGAATAATGTATGACTGCCATGAATAATGTATGACGGCCATAAATAATGTGTGACACCATCAACATCCATGTATATGTGCACATCTGGAACATGCAGTGTTGCATTAGCGAGGTCCACATGCGTATTACAGAACTTATCGCACAGTGCTTTTCTACAGCAAAGACTGGCTTAAGATTCCTGGAAAAAACGAGGAATTTCTTTGTGCCCAACACGTGCCAACTTTGATTGTTTTTCTTTAATAAGCTATGGACAGCTTGCCTTTATAATGCTGAACCCTGCGAAAGTTTGTCAGCTTTGGCAGTCATTAACCTTGGAAATCAAAGTGTTGTGGTCGTGTCCATCATACGTCCTCACAAGTCCATCACAAGTCCTCACAAGTCATCACAAGTCCATCACAAGTCCTCACAAGTCCTCACAAGTCCTCACAAGTCATCACAAGTCATCACAAGTCCATCACAAGTCATCACAAGTCATCACAAGTCATCACAAGTCATTTAGTTCCTAATTAAGTCACAAGCTATTCAAAGGAACTCTGACAAAAGGATTCCTTTGTTATTGTTCAGCCCCTGTTACATGCGAAAACTTGAAAGGACTTGTGATTATTTGTGACTGGACTTGCGGTCACTTATGACTGGACTTGTGATGGACTTGGGATGGATTCAAATACAAGACTTGAAATAATAAGAAGTATGGTTCCCTGACTCACCTCTCCAACCAGCATTTCAAATATGAGGACTCCAAGCCCCCACCAGTCCACAGCCCTGGTGTAGGACGGTTCCGTCAGTACCTCCGGGGCGAGGAACTCGGGCGTGCCACAGAACGTGCTGGTCCGGTCCCCGAAGCCCATGCCTTCCTTACACAAGCCAAAATCAGCGATCTTCAAGAAGCCCTCCTGGTCTAGGAGAAGGTTGTCTAGTTTCAAATCTCTGTTAAAATGAAAAGGGGAAAAAATGATGGTGTTGAACACATTAGCACCTGTACTATATTGTATTACATTGTATTACATTGCGTCACATTGTATTACATTGTATTACATTGTGTCACATTGTATTACATTGTAGTACATTGTGTCACATTGTATTACATTGTATTACATTGTATTACATTGTGTTACATTGTAGTACATTGTAGTACATTGTATTACATTGTGTCACATTGTATTACATTGTAGTACATTGTGTCACATTGTATTACATTGTATTACATTGTATTACATTGTGTTACATTGTATTACATTGTATTAACTCCCTGATGAATCAGTAAAGCAATACAGTGGTGGGGCGGTTTGGTGCGTTAGTTAACACAGTGTAACAGGCAGGATGGTTAGATGCGATACAAGACTAATAGAATGTTCCTTTCCACAAGGCAAAGCTGAGTGGAATGGAACATTCTATCCCCCACATTATTCTTTCCATTGCTCGAGCGAGAAACATTCAATACTTGTTTTATTGAACACCTGAATAAATCCTTGTCATCTGCTTGATCAGATGGGACAAAAAGATTCAATGACAAATGATCAACGACCCACCAATCAGATGACAAGGATTTATTCAGGCATTGTACAACATCACACAGCCAACCAACCTATTCTGTCCGTTTCTAATGTCAAAATTTGGAGCAAAATTTAAACCGAAGTGTGCCAAAATTTCTATCCAGAAAATGACATGATTGATATATACAGTGTAATTTTAACTTACTTGAGATATGCAGTGCTAAAAAAAAAATTGAGTATTTTACGACTGTTAAGATTTACAATTGACCAACCTGTACACTATGTTGTTTTCATGGAGATACTGCAAGCCCAGTACCACACACGCCGTGTAGAATCTACAACAGAGAGAAATTGCAACAAGTCACATAAAGCATACACTTTAAGGGCCAACAAAGGACAACACAAATAAATTGAGATTAAATAACTCAGTAAAACCTAAGCCAGGAATGCGTCTCTGGGAGTTTATGGTGATCACGTGCAAAGATTGGTCTCTAATGCGACATATATGATAGAGACCTTATAGAGACCAACGCTCTGTTGCACACCCCAGAGTGTTGAACAATATGAGGTTTCGGCAAGAAATATCTGTTGAAATGACTCTTGCGAATCAGTATTTTTGGCGTTTGGTTGTATATCAGAAGTTGGCTGCTATATTTTGCCTTTTTCAAAAATCAAAATTTTGAGCAAAAATAAACCCGGCACGAACTGGTTAATAAACTCACACTGTCCTAGGCTCGGAGAAGACGTCCGTGTGTATGTGCATCATGAGGTCACCGCCGATGGCATACTCCATGACGAAGCAGACATGGGCCTCAGTCTGGAAGCAGGCAAAGAGGTTGACCAGGAACGGGTGCCGCATGCTGTTGGCTGTCTCAAAGATTCGCTTCTCACACATCAGGCTGCAAGGATAACAATCAAATGGGAATACGTAGACAAATGGGATACAAATAAACGTGATAAACTGGGAAAAAAATCTAGAGTTCATTTGTAACCAGATTCCAGAAGTCAGCCTTAAGAAACAGTTTTTAACTTATTATTAGTTTGTCACATGTATTGAAGGGCACAATTTGCTCCTTTTCATACATATCACTCAGTTTAGGCACTCTGGAGAAATTTTTTTTTTTAAATGAATGGGGGTGATTTTTTTTCAATTTTCAGATTTATTGATATTTGTAACCTTTGATATATTTACTACACATATTTTTACAAATAGTATACAAATTGTGAAATAAAAGTGTTTTTAAGGAAAAAAAATTGACATCTTTCATTTTCACGAATTCAAAACTCAAAATGTAAGGCCTATTTCAAAGTATTTTACTTTGACTGCCAAGCACAGAGGGTAAAGTTAGGAACCAAAACAGCCCAGACAAAATGACAAAAAGTTGACTTAACATCAGTAAATTTCCAACCATTTACCAAACATAATGTCCCCCTCCGTAAGGGGAGTGGATTTCTCAATAGGAATAGCCCTCAAGTTTTCTCACCTCTCCACTTCTTCTCTTGCGATGATGTCGCCCTTCTTGAGTGCCTTGATGGCAAACAGCTCACCCGTGTTCTTGTACTCGGCCAGGAGCACCTTGCCAAAGTGGCCACGGCCCAGCACGCTGATGCAGCGGAAGTTATCCATGGTCAGGAAGTTATTGGAGCTATCAAAGTAAATGAGAACATCATCGTACATGTAACTCATTGATTGAGTGGTCTTGACTATTGATAAGCAAACAATCCTAAGCAGGCTCAGTCATTATGTAGGTTAACCCTAACTCCTTGGGCCTTTTTGCAAGGATGTAGCCTCAATCCTGCAAAATCTTCCAATTGGCCTCATGGAAAAATAGCATAGCCTCAATCCTGTAAATTCCTCCATTATTTCTTGAATATGGTCCGAAGAGGGGTGACCACTGCCTGAATCCTGCAAAATCCAGCAGCAGTGACTGTCAATATGTTGAGGCTTGGCCAGTGACATCCTGGAGCAGTGCGGAGGATTTCAAGCATAATCCAGGCCTATATTTATGCATGGCTAAGCAAAAACAACACAAGGTCAAGCCCAAGACCTTGACAAAGTGCATCCTACAAAATCAGTAACGCACTTTTGCCCTGTAACCTCAATCCTCCAAATTCCTCCACTTTGGCAAAGAGGATTTTGAAGGATTCAGGGCGGTTGATAAAGCAAGTCCTTTTCCTGCATAACTTGTCAAAACTGGTCCTGACATGTTCAAACCGGTCAGAACCAGTGCTTAATATTGTTTTTTTTTCCCAGCAAACTTGGCGTACCTGATGTCATGTGGCTGAGCTGGCACACTGGCCGGTGGTGAGACCGGCGTGGAGGCCTGAGGAACAATCGGTCTGGACTCGGACTTTGGTAGGTCTGGCGTAGGGGCCGCCGAGCTGGGACCCGGACTACCCAGAAAGTCAAACGCTGACAGCGCATCCTGAATATTGAAAAAAACAAAAGTTGTACATTGAGGGAAAATTGTTTCATGACTATTGACAAAACACGTTACATTTATTAAAGGCATATAGATAGCATCATATGCTTTTTATGCATTCTGCTTGTTTCATATAATAATAACACCACTCAAAATCCAAAGAAGAGTATTCAAAACTTAACTTGTTAAAGTTTCAGCTCAGTGGATATTACACTTTTTGAGAAAACAGTGAAAACCCATGCACAACCTTTTGATCATAAAACACAACTTCGTCAATTGCACTCTTTATTCCAAAAAAATAGTCAATTGACTGATCGTTGGAAATCACCTACATTTCTTGATTTCTTCTAAATGACAGTAAGCCAGATGGAATATTTCACGGGAGTTTAGTGCCAGTACAATCTTTAATCCAAGTAAGGTTTTTAATCATAATTTGGTAGGTTACTTTTGGTATAAATGTAAATGATCCTATATGCCTTTGTTATTCATACATGTACCATACATGTCAATCTGTACAGAAGTTTCAATAGTTCTTTTCTTTAGTTCGATCATGATCCACCACCTAGTCCCGCATGTCATATTTTCAAGTGATTTCTATTAGACACACCAAAATAACTACAAACATATGAAAAAAAAATTAAACTATACACTTCATGACATATATGACCACACAAAGCCACTTCGATGCTCAACTACTGTGAGGTTACATCAAATTAGCAAGTGTAAGAAAATATCTCATCTTCTTGACTCTCTCAGTGTTCAAGAGGACAGATCTCTACATTGTACTTACCCACAACAGGTCAAGAGGCCAACAAGTCAACTGAAGAAACATCTTAATCAACGAAGAACAACTGTTCATCAAACACAAACTCTACCACAACCCAACCATACTTGCTGTCCACATGTACACATCTTATACAAGCAAGTAGAGAAAACGACAACACCGATCGAGATCCCAAAAGATACAGGAACAAACATTCAGTGACAACAGCCATCAATGCCTGCATTCCGTATTGTCGTCCTCCTAAAATGTGTGGTGTGTGTAGCAATACATGAAGCCAGAGGCAGTTTCTTCTGTTAACTAGAATATTACAGGTGCATTTGTACCTGTACAGTAGAGTGTATTGAGGAAACAGCACCACAGGAAAACCAGCCAACACTCCTCTCTTCCAGTGAACACTACATGTTGGTGTTTTGCTTGTGTGAACATCCTGTAATATTTCCTGTAGACTTTTTTCCAAGTTTACTCTCATGTGTCTCTTCCTGTTCGTACAGATGTTTCGATGACTGAACTTGGGGGGAAGTAACCGGCCTTAAAACAGTACTTTTTTTTTAATTAATGAAAAAATAAAAAGACTTTTTCTACTCTCTAAAAAACCTACCCTAAATCTGCCTCACACCTACAAATCTTAGAACATATCCCAGATTAGATTTTGTTTTAACTTAAAACTGGCTATGGCCAATACAAAGACAATGACTCAAATTCAAAACAAAATTTGTAAATATTTCTCACACACTCTCGGACATTATATACAGGAAATAATCTAATATCACCCCTACTCTCCGAGATCCTTCAAATCTCTAGAGTTTTTTTTTTTTTTTGGAGGAAGGGAGAGCACGGCTTTGATCGGTGCAGTCTACCCAATCTACCCATCGCAGGTACCCATCTGTGCTCCTGGGTGGAGAGGGTCAGCTGAAGTAATGGTTTTGTCCACGGAACACAAGCCCCATGATCTCTCTTTGAATCAAACTCACATACAACTTGAGTCAGACATTGGACCCTAAACAAAACCTCCCCTAAATCTTCTGTAATTTGATGCACAGTGGAGGATTTTGGGAAGATTCAGAATAAGAATTTGAAGAAGGTTGATCAGTTAGCCTCACCTCGACTTCGTGTTCGGGTATCCTCCGCTTTCCCCCCTGGTCCCCATTGGTCTTCTTGGGCGATGGAGCCCCCCGGTCTGTGATCTCTGGCAGCTCCCCCTCAAAGCTTAGCCTCTGGATGGGGATCGAGGGCCGTTCCCTGACCGGCGGGGGTAGCGAGGGGGGCACGGTGGGGAGGCCCTGCGGGCTGAGGGTGGTCGGGGAGGTACAGGTTGGCGGGATGGCCCGCTTCATCAAGCGGCCCCAGGTCGCCACATTGATGTTCATCTGGTTGGCACGCAGGAAGTTCTTGCCTGTCACCAGAAAAAGGCAAAAATATTATACAACTTATTTACAATATGTGGCAAGAATTTTTCGAATTGTCTATACAACTGATCTCCATCTGGTTGGCTTGCAGGAAGTTTTTGCATGCAATGTCATTGAAAAAACTGTAATGGATATCCTTATCTTTACATGCAGCATGGCACTATTGACACTAAAAGAAAATAACACTATTCTGTTACTTGTGTTGCATGTAGTTCCTTGTACCACACAGATATCATTCAATCCTATTATGATAAATGTTGAATATGTAGCTCACGTTTCAAAAACAAAATATGAGATTACTGATAAAAACCCTGACGATTGGAACGTTTCAAAATCCTTGTGCAATGGACTCTGAAGAAAGATTTCTCACACTGATTTTCAAACAAATTATCAATACAAACAAACTGAAGACACCAAGTAAAGCTTCAAGCAGGTAAGTCATTCTATAAAGTAAGGTTCTGAAGTGTGACATTATTCCAGTCCCTCTTACCTTAGTACTTTGTCATTTGCCATTCCAGTATCATTAAGAATGACTACAAATAATTGTTTTCTTTGGCGGATAGGTAGTATGCTATTTATAATCACTCTTAGAAAACAACTACATCAAGGATTATACATGTCAATTGTTGTCATTTGCCATTCCAGTATCATTAAGAATGACTACAAATAATTGTTTTCTTTGGCGGATAGGTAGTATGCTATTTATAATCACTCTTAGAAAACAACTACATCAAGGATTATACATGTCAATTGTTACAGGGACAAGAAAACAGTGGACCCCAAATTTATAGAATGACCCAGCTACAAAATGCATACAGAAACAAGTTTGACAAATAACTATTATAGAATGAGTACTTGAGTAGATGGGTACTCTTTGGATGTGAGCCTCAAGCACCAATGAAAGACCGACAATTTTTCAAGAAGTTACCTTTATATTTGGGGAATATCTTTCGTTGACGCTGCAGTTTTGTTCTCCTTTCGATGCTGGGGTTGAAGAACGTGATCTGTGGAGATAAGGAATGGTTGAATGTGAGAAAGAAAGCTGGACACAGGTAAATTATAATAAGTATAGGCTCTGTGCACAAGTCCCCCCTCACTTGCATGAAAGGGAAATTTGGGGGGGGACAACTGAGACATTGGAACACACTGCCGACGACCCCAACGCTCACGCACAGACGCTACATGGGTTTGTGTACATTCAAAATGGACTTAGACGTGCGTACTTCACGTCATACGTGCGCGAACCAGTACACACACGTGGTGTGTCCCCCTCCCCATCACTCTCAAAAGTGGTCAGAAAGCGCCCTCTCTTGTTTACGCACGGAGCTTATTGTGAGGCTTAGCCCTTGTCTGAAATGGGCTTCCAGAGCCATGGCTACGTCTATTGTCAGCGCGTCCCCGCGTATTTTCAATGGGCGCAGACCTAGACCTAGCTCTAGACAGCTGATTTGGATGCAGCCCTAATTCTCACTGACATGCTAAAATGTTGAGTGATAAAATGATAAAAAGGTGTTATTAACTGTAAAATACAGACCAATCTGGGCATAGATCAATGTACACTACTCAAGGTGGCCCCCAGTAATGGTGGAGGCAGAGTACAAAGTAAATGATAAATGACAGCGATTCTGGACAATAGCTAGCACAATGCTTCCGAAATTACTGCAGGCCTCCGTGGGTGTACAGTATCTCGTCATGTGATACAGATCTTCACTTGATCAACTTTCAACTTTTCCATCTTATTTTGGTTAAAGCAGAAAAGATGAGATGAAAGTTAAATCTACTTAGTCTAGTTCCCTGTCTCAAGACAGTTTTGATCTATACCTCAGCGAACAGCATGCCTGCGGGTTCCAGGTTGAGGACCAGGCCATGTCTTTGGTTGTCTAGAAAATCCTCCAGTCTTAGAAACTTGACTGCACACAGCGATCGCCAGTCCTTGTATAGTACAGAGATCTCCAGCTCACGGGACTGTTGAGGAAAACAGGCTAGGCTTATTACAAATACAACGTCAAATACCATCAAGAGCAGGGTTATATCACTGTTCTATTGCACTGTAAATAATAGGTTTGGGCGGTTCCAAAATTTCTGGAGCCAGTTCCGGTTCTCTAAAAAGAACCGGTTCCGAGTCAGAACCGGCTTTCGGAAAATTCAATGAAAAACATAAGCTCTTGAAATTACATGTAAAGATAATGGTGTCACCTTGTGAGGTCCGTGCTCTGTGGATTTCAATGTGCAATACATGTTATTAGGTGTTGGGCTTTAGCCCAAAACCTATTGTTTTTGCTAGGGTTTTTAGTTTTTTTTTTCTTCTATACACATTCCTTCTCCAGAACTGTGTGTCAAAATGAAAACATATATGAACTTCAATTGTCAATACATGAATGCACAACCTACCGCAGATGTGCTTTTTTGCAATTACGTAATCATGACGTCATCACGGGTCACATGACGTCACTTCAAAGTTTAATAAATTTAATCTTTGAAATTCCATATAAAATCAACCGTGAGAGACCGGAACCTGAAATTTGCGGGAATCGACATGGTAATACATGATCTTCATTTTATTTTGTGCGCGTAAAATCACGTGACCCTTCCTTCCGGTCGAAACCGGAAGTGCCTAATAATTTTAAAGTGGAAAAAGATATGAACTTGCTTTAAACGATTGAAGTGTCTGCCTGGATTGACCTTTCAAAAAAAATAATGGGTGACGCCATGAAGTGTTGGAGCGCCCTCTAGCGGCAGGTTAAAAAACGTCAAAAACGCATTTTCACTTGATGTCTGTGGCGAAGTTTGCGGTAATCGCTTCAAAGTTAATGTACATGATGACCATAATGCAGACAACACCTGTGCGCGAAAAAAAAATGATTACGTCATCAGACCGGAAGTTACAATAAAAAGACCTTTAAACCTTCAAAAATTGCTAGAAAATATACAGTGATAGATATAATCAAGATTTGACTGTATATAGCAGAATTAAAATAGCTCTTGAACTTTCTGGTAATGACGTCATAATGACGTCATCAAGTATCGTATTACAAGCAATCAAATATTTCTAGATTTAATCTTTGAAAATCAATATAAAATCAACTGCTACAGATTTGATTTTGTTTTTTATGGCAATCGATACAATATTGCAGGGTCTTCAGTTTTGGTATTAAGTGCAAAATCACATGACCCTTCCTTCCGGTCGAAACCGGAAGTGCCTTTTTATTTGAAATTGGCAGAAGATGCGAACTTGCTTTCAACGATGTGAGTGACTGCCTAGGCAGTACTGTACAAACATATTACAGGTGACGTCATCAAATGTTAGAGCGCCCTCTAGCGGCAGTTTAAAAAACGTCGAAAACGCATTATCACTTGATGTATGTGGCGAAATTTGCGGTAATCGCTTTAAACCTAACATACATGATGAACTTAATGCAGAAAAGACCTGTGCGCGAAAAAAAATGGATGACGTGATCAGACCGGAAGTTATAAAGAAAAGACCTTGAAACCTTAAACAATTGCTAAAAAATCAACCGTGAGAGATAATTATAATCAAGATGTGGCTATATATAGCAGAGTAAATATAGCTCTGGAGGTTTCTGGCGATGACGTCACAATGACGTCATCAAGTGTCATATTACAAGCAAATAAAGATTTCCATATTTAATCTTTGAAAATCGATATAAAATCAACTGCTACAGATTTGATTTTATTTTTTATGGCAATCGATAAAATATTGCAGGGTCTTCATTTTTGGTTTTAAGTGCAAAATCACGTGACCCTTCCTTCCGGTCAAAACCGGAAGTGCCTTATTAATTGACATTGGCAGAAGATGCGAACTTGCTTTCAACGATTCGAGTGTCTGGGCAGTACTGTACAACAATTTTACAGGTGACGTCATCAAACGTTAGAGCGCCCTCTGGCGGCATGTTGAAAAGTCAAACATGGATTTAAACATGCATATTTTGAGTTGATGTGTGTGGCAAAGTTTGCGGTAATCCATGGCCCAACACCATGTGGTTGTTCCTACAACCTCTAGTTACACTATGTATTTGGTTTCAAATGTGTGTCTTTTTCCTGTGAAACTATGGATATTGTGTGATTAATAGCAAGCTTAGCGTTTATTACTTTATTTTCTGTTCCTCGCATATGATTCTATTTACCGTGACGACCGCCATGCCACCGACATGGCTGACAACAGAATGATACACTGCACAAGTTCACGTCCCTGCATGTACACCGATTCTTTTGGAGCCGGAACCAAGCATAGCGGGTACTCGGTTCTCAAAAAGATTGGACTCGCGGTTCCAGTTCTCATATTGGAACCGAGTAGAACCGGGGAACCAAAGGAACCGCAAAATACTAGTAAATAACCTCTGGGTTTTTTCCAGTGATAAGGAGTTAATAGAATTGTTGTCTTTTTTTAAAACTAAGCTTTTTGAGTTAAGTGTACCGGTAGGTATGAGAAAGACTGTTTCACGCACACTTTGAAATTAGATACTGTGTTCTTTGTCGGAACTTGTTGAAAGTTATTGTTTAGAGCCTCACAGGGAATTTTTCAATTGATTAATTTTTATAAAATTGCCAACATCTGAGGCTTTTTTCTATAGAAGTTCATAATTACTGCAGCCCCTTGTAGCAAGTGCAGAGAAGCGATAGATGCATTATTGTTTGTTTTTAAAACATTAATATAAATGCGAAAGATGGAGCTGAGTTTTACATCCAATTAATCACAACCTTCATGACACTCACCTTGTCTAGTTCTATGCTAAACCGCTGATTCCAACACTGGTTACCGATCGGCTTGAAGGACGTCTGCCCAACTTGAATGTTGTCCAGTTTTAAGATGGCACTGATGTCAGCTGCAGAAATACGTAACATGGAATTAACTTAATCCTTGAAAGTCGAAAGTTGAAAGTTGAAGATGATAGTGAAAAGATGCTCAAAACAATGCAAGCATTGAGTGGGAGAGGTTTGCAAACACATTACTTGGATTGCTTAACTCTGAATATAATTGTAGTCCCGCAAACCAGGGTATGAACTTTGACAGTTGTGTCAGTATGCTCTACCCATCATTAGTACAAGGGCCTACTCTGCACAGGAATAGCTTACTGACCAAAACATCACTTCCCTTTCAGAGTAAGTCACTTCACATGGTGACACAAACTTCTCCCAAATTATGTCTTGCGCCAAGAAAAGCCTACGGTCACTTTTAAATGTAGTGTACTGTGGGATCTCAACAAGGACAGTTTTTAAATTCAGCGAAAATGAAAGTACACCTTGTCTAGTCTCGCGTATCACAAAGGAACAAAGACCTCTGCTCAGATACCCGTATGACGCCATACCCAAGGGGTCTACTGAACGTCCAAGAAAAAGGAAAGAATCCTTAAAGAAGGCCAACCTTTCATACCACCAGATAGAGCGCACTCAATAGGGTGTGCTCAAGGCATGATACCTACTTGACAATTCATCCCTTCTTGTGCTGGACGACCGGCTGCCTGTCCTGCCGTGAAACGACGTCTTCCCCTTCAGCAGCCCCCTGCTCTCCCCGGGGCTGAAGGCCCCACCCGAGGAGGAGTTTGACTTGGACCTGTTGGGGACTGTCTCTAGCAGGTCTTGGGAGCCCATGAGGCGGACCTCCAGGCGGCCTGTCAGGGCGGCTGGTTTAGGGAGGGTGCCGTAAGACTGAAGAGAAACAATGTGAACATAAAGTGATCAATCTTCCCAATACATAATTTTGTTTGACGCCGTAATGACCCCATTATGGGGGTACAAACAAATGAGAATCCAAGATTACTTTTGCTATAATTCAAAAATGACATTTCTACGTCTTTTTAGAATGAGTATTGTAGGAATCCAGAAAATCATATTGTTACAGAACAATCATTTGCTCAACAACAACGGGGCCTATAAAAACAGATATAAAAAGTTGAATTCATCTTCGAATTGAAATGAGAAAACCATGACTCTTATAAAAAAAAAACATACATACACCAAAATTACACTCACATAAAGGAAAATGTCCTCGCCTTCACCTCTTTGGCCCAGGTTCGATTCCTGCCCTGGTCCACATGTGGATGGGGTTTTCAGTCCCTACCTGATTCCATGATTGTTTTTCCCAGAATAGTTATCCTAGTGTTTCCTCCCAATTCTTCGCTGTCTTCGCTCCACAATTTTCTTCAGGCTTGCAAACTACAATCCCTCAGGCGCTTTTGAGGAATGCTTCGTTTCATTACGAGAAATAAAATAATAATAATAAATTCACCTGAGACTTCCCCGTGGCCAGTTCATCCTTGATCTGCTGTATCTTCTCCGAGTCTGATTGCAGAGGTAGCTCCTTGATTCTCCTCTCTAGGGCTAGCCTCAGGATGTCCAGCTTATGACTGGACTCAAGCATTCCTCGTTCAGCCTGACAAAAATATTGCAAAATGATCTGTTTTTGAACAGCGACAATGACAACCATAAAATCTGTACGATGAAATGTTGCGTTGGTGAGATGAAAATTAAATGTTTGGTTTACAAATGTCCTTCACCGACATAATTTCATAAACACTGAACACTCAGTGTTGTCCGAGGCTTGCGAAAAAAATTCACAAGCTTACTCGGGTGGGATTCGAACCATGACCTCCATTTGGCAAAAAAAAGATGCCGTACATCAATATTAAGGGGGGGGGGAATCATACACAACGTAATTTTAAAATTTGTGGACAGGTTTGAGCTTTACCTCCGCCAATCCTTTCTTGTCAGATCTGCTCTCACTCAGCATCTTGGCCACATTCTTGAACCCTTCCACTACAGCCAGCTCAATCTTAAAGTGATGTCTGAGTTCCTCAATGCGAAACTCTAGAGGGCTCAGGTGCAGATCGGCAGCAGAGGCCCGGCGATAACCTGCAAGGAATCATGAAAATACTACTGAAATATACGGTTTAAAGAATTCGCAAAATGTGTCATGTTCCTGTTCAACTCAAATTTGTAAAGGGAAGTACCGGTAGGAACGCTGTTAATTACCCGGAAACAGACCTACATGTACCGTACATGTAGTGTACATGTACCGATTTATTGAACAAACATTGCTCTACATGTACCATTTGTACAAGTGAAGACAAGGATGGTACCAAAATATCCGGTGAAATCATTCCACCTGAAATGTCTCGTTTAGGGAGAAAAAAACAATCAATGGATGCAAAGCAACTGAATATGGTTATGAGACCCAAACAGTTGGTGCATATTGTTGGGACATTACAGTATATACATGTACCTACTGAGCTCAAACCTCAACAGGTACCGGTATTACAATAATTGAATTGAAGTTGAATTATATGTTTTTATAGGTTTTAAAGCTTTCACTGTGAGGCCTGAATGATCCTACAGACAAAATAATGTGCCTCATTAAACAGTATTAATTTTCACAGTATTACAACGTGCAGAGAAGTACAACGTACCGGTTTTAAATACATGTACAATTATAAATTGTACATACCATATGTACCGGTACACAGAGGTACGATACATGTACATGTACCGGTAATATACCGGTACAGTGTTCTCCAACTTTGAAAATTAAAGGTTGGCGCTGGGGTCGGCGGGTACTCCTGCGAGCGCGGAGCGCGAAGCCCTTACGGCGTGGGGTCCGGGGCCCGCTTAAGGGCCCCGGAAAAATTTTGGATTCTAGATGCTCTGTGGTGCAATCTGAGGCGATTCTCCAGGCCAGTTCCCCCGATTTTTTTAGCATTCACAAAGTTGCTTTTCAACCTAAAGCAGACTTCTCTCAGATCAAATGACACCTTTTTGTAATTTTGAAAAACAAAATGGGATACAAATTACGTTTTTTTTAACGCGATTTTATGGGTGGTGCCGGTGCCGTGCGATCGTCATCTTTATTTTCATGTTGCGTTTTGTCGTTGTCATCGTCATTTTCCCCCCAAATTTCCCTCTATTTATGACCTACCTGTATGTTCTTAAATGTCGCCAACTAGTTTGGTAAGTCAAATAAATTAAAAGTGGATTTTGTTCTCTTTGGGAACCGGGCCCATACACGATCGCCATTTATAACTTTTGACAATCGGCATGATCGGAACACCATGTACACGCGTGTCATGCCCTCGAGCTCGTTTGCCTCGTACAAAAACGCGTATTATATTGTGTACCGCGCGTGCAAGCACTGAGAAAAAGAAAGTCGGTGGGCTGCACGTAAGATCTGCCATACGTTCTCCTGCTGGTGTGTGTGTGTACTAATACAGATATCTATTTTTGCGGCGGGGTTGTCGCTACCTGAAGTATCGGCACACTCCGGAGCTGGGTATTCAGTTGTCAGTGTGTACTGTACATCGTGCATACCTAATAGTATAGTACGTACAGTGCATGGGGAATCGCTGGTGTTTGCACGGCCGGCCGTGCGTGTGATTGATTCAGCAAGATTTTAAGACAACCCCGATCGGGCTGGGATATTTTTGTTATGACATCGAAATACATTGTTAATGTGTGGAAAAACAACTGAAATCAATTATTTTAGTTGTAAATGTACACTGTAGAGTCAAAAAAATTAAACCTGGCGGCAGGATTTTAAAGCTTGGCGGGGACTTCTTAAACATGGCAGGCGCCGCAGAAAGCATGGCGGGGCGCCAGGTTTGTTCTACATGTTGGAGAACACTGATGTACCGGTAATATACCGGTACCATACTGGTATGTACACGTACATGTACCGTATGTACCGGTATGTTGAAAACTACTGGTACATCTATGCATGTACCGTACCGGTGTCACATGAAAATCCGACTCCTATGAAAATCGGACCCCTATTTCCCAATTATTGGTTGATCCCTCGCACGTGACAGGTCACTCTCCCGAAACGATCCTAAAAATAGCATAGTATCGTACTCACGCGTGGGCAGTACTACCAATGAGTCCACATTTCATGGAGTCGGATATTCACGCTACACTGGTTAAATAGACTAATTCAGCAACATCCATTTTCTGAGGTGGCACTGCAGATGCACCAAGTTCGTGCGAGTCACGCTCAGGTAGAACGAATGCACTCCAAGCTCCTTTTGACCAATACTGTTAGTGTTACCAAAATGCGTGCGCCTCATCTTTAAGAACGCATGCACGCAAGCACGGCACCACCTCAAATATGACTTCTAGGTTTGACGGATCACTAGCTACCACATTAAACTTAAACCTGCTTGAATTTATAAACAAAACAATAAATAACAGGTTACTTGTACATTTTATTTACTACACTTGTACTCACCCACTAGGCAAAAAATCATGGTGACTGTGGTAGCTTGTAGCAAATCAAAAAATCAGTGTAAACATCGAGCTATGGTTTGACAAATTGACACAACTTTCCCATCCACAAGATAACAAACGACCAACCAAATTAACAGACACTTTCTTTCTTGTTAGTCAGTCAAGAAAAAAAAAGGGCAAACTATGGTAGGCACAAAGATCACAAGTGAAGACAAAGCATGGACTGTTCAACCACTGCAATTTTTTCATTCCCAAAGAAACAGTCATTCATTTGCAACAGGGATCACACAGCGTGTAATGAAGCTAACACGTGGTTTTACTGGTGCCCCAACACTGAGGCCTGTTGTTTTCACTGTCCATGTGGTTAGGTTTGTACACAAACCAATCAGCCAATGGGCATGTGTGCAAGTGCAGGGCTGGCCCACCCAACAAAATAAAAAAGGCCTTACTGTTGGGTGACTCAGTCATAAACAATTAACACTTGGCCAGCTGGATGCATTGTCTTGTTACTCACGTGTTGTAAAGAATTGTCAGTGGGCATAGACATTTTTTTCACAAGTGAAAATTTCAGTGAGTTTATATTTTTTTTTCAACTTCCGTCAAAATTCTATTCAAACATTGACACTGCAGGGGAGGGGGAATGAAGTCTCATAACTTTTGTATCTTAGAGGATATATGTGTTGAAGTTTGACAGTTACATTGTAATTGAAACTTTCAAGACAAAAATTCTAAAAGATTTCCAAAATTCAGGTCATTATATTACTTGTACCCCATTATTCGAGAATATCCCCAACACCATCCCAAAAATATCAGTCTACACGCATGACAAGTGGGAGTATCAAAGTACATGTTTGTTCATGCATACCAGTACATATTGGTACAAAAATGTGCATGTAAACAGAAACACTTAATTTAAATACATTATTCCTCCACGAATAAATGTACATGTGTACATGTACATGTATGTCCACACATGTATGCATGTGTATTGTACTTGTACCGTACTTCCAATCCCCATCCCTGAACAATCTTTTCCAGATTTGCACAATGTTACAAAGAGCCACATCCTTTATTACTAGCTGCTAACCTCAGAGATAATGGTATCTGTTTTACCTGGAAATCACAGATGATTCAGGGGTCATAAAAAGTGTGAACTTGAATTGAATACAGTTCATTGACAGACCACTGGTGTCTTGTTTCAGATTCAATCTCTATTTGGTACAAACTACAATTGGAAGGTTTCCCAACTTAATTAGCTCTCTTTTCAAACATGAATTGTATATTTGAGAAGCATACAAATGTAGCCATGTACATATACATCAGCTGGCCACAACATGTGCCGGTACCTTATGTGTAATACATGTTAACAAACAAGATAGGCCTACATGTATACCAGTACATCCTATACACATGTCCATAACAATTTGTGTATTTATGTAATTGCAAACAAATCAAATTGTAAAACCTATGTACAAAAACTGCATTTGTAAATTACCCGGTAACATCAATAATCATACAAATCCCAGCCTGTGCATGTGCATGTAAATGACTTGGATGACTCATTTGACAATAATTCTTTATTGCACGGTATTGTACTCGATATTGTACTGTGCATAATTGCGTGCAATACAGATGGTGATCAGATACTGTTCATGAAGGCAGAAGCCTTGTCTTGATACCCGGCTTTTTGATTTGAAATACAATGCAGGCTTCATTTGGCTCCAAGTTAGGTGAACCGAAAGGCTGTTATGAATAGCGCCCTCAATTGTCGGTAAACAATTCTAGTTTGTGACCCAGCAAAGCTTCTCTGTTCAGGATGGGCTGTGATTTTTACATTCAAATATTTACATTAAAAAAAAAAACGGGGTCATTTCACCTGCTTGTCATTTATCAAAATAGACATTAATCATCTCCCCATGGATACGTACAGAAATCAAGCAGCAACAATTCTGGAATATAAGCAACTTCCATATTTGACAGAATGTAACCTAATCTATAATTAGCTGTCATTATTCCCACACACTACCGTTTGTGGGCAACTATCAATACCGACTATACATGTAGAAACCAACAAAGAAGTTTACTTTCCACGCAAACTTTCCAAATACAGGTATAACAACCCCACGCATCATCCAAAAATAATCTGTTTAGTTCTCGGCTCAGAAATAACAAAAAACAGATTTGCTGTAAACAGAACTGACCCCCAAAGCAAGTGCAGAATATGAAACTGGACTTTCTGCCTCCCATGGCTTTAACTTTAAGTAAACTTTAAAAGTAAATTGTATCACAACGGCTGAGTCACCATTAAGGATGACAGCGGCTTGACTGGCTGATCTGAATTGGGTCATTTCATAAATTTAGAGTCCAAAGTGTGACATTTTTCCTGCCCTGTTACCTTGGTATTTGTAATTGGCCATTCAAGTATTATTTAAAACAACTCTGAATGATTTTCTTTTACTTGTTGGGTAGGTACCGGTAGCTTGCTATTCATAATCACTCTTGGAGGACGCCTGCATTAAACCCTTACTCTCTGAGGGTAGTTTACTGCATGTCAGTTGGTTATGCCAATGCCCTCCAGCTGCAGTTTATTGGAGGATACTTTGATGTAGCAGTGAAGGCTCCAATTGGCAGGAGTTGGAGGCCCTGGAGGGTGCCTGATACTGACCAGCTGGGGGCACTTGATTGTTATCAGAGGACTCTCATTGTTCTCTGTGGCATGTATTGGAGTGCCTGTCCAGTTACCCTTGAAATGACATGGCAGATATTGGAGGGCCATGCAAAAAACATAGGAGATTTTCTTGAGGCACATATTGGCATGCGTTGGAGGGTCTAGTAGGGTAAGGGTTAATTAATTATAGAGTGTATCACAACGATAAAATGTAACAGGGACAGAAAAAAAACTGGACCTCAAATTTATAGATTGACTACAAATGTAGATTTAAGAAAACAATTTTTGCTGGGTTTTCCCCAAGTCAGTAGTTGTTTATTTCAGATGATAGTGGTATCATTTCATCATTCTCTATTGTGGCTCTCATATCATGACTTCAGGTGCCAATTTTGACAAAGGAACCCAGTTCCCAAATTTAGACATGAAAGTGAAAGGAATGAAAAGTCTGGACATGCTTGGAACCCTGCTCATACATGTACTTCATTAGATTAAGTCCTGATCCAACACAACTTACTGTTGCTGGGTTCTCGAAACGCGAAGTACAGAAGTGTCATATAATGGCTGTGAAAGATCAGCAGCCAGTTTCACGAAACAATGCGTAACTTACGCCATGCGTAGGACTTACGCAATACGCAACAAATTTGTTGCGCAGCTGTGAAACAAACTTACGATCGATTTCACAAAACTTGGCGCAGCTGCGCAACGTTTTCAATAATCTAAACATCTTGGGGGTTTTTATGATTTTGTTCGTTCATGAAAAAGTCATTGAATCACCTCCGCCTGCCATTTTGAAAATTTCTTCGGAATCATGCGGCAACTCTTAAAACTCAGTCACGAGTAAAAAAGCAATTCATTTACTTCAAACACAAAGCTGTGAGTGTCTTGTATATCAACCTTGAGAAGTTATGCAATAACAGGCTCCACGATGATCACGGTTTGCTGTTAAAATAGGTCTTTTTTCAGTCAGTATGCCACAAGTTACGCCACCTAAAATGATTGCGGGCAAGTTACGCCATAATTTGTTGCGCAAATTTTCATAACTACGTTGCGCAGTGTGATATGTTGCGCAGCTTACGCAATAAATTGTGGCGCAAGTGCACTTAGGCCATTGCATAAAGTTTCATGAAATCGGCGGCTGTTGTACAGCTACTAACATCAACCAGATTATTGGCAAGTTTTATACTGTATTTCAGTGATGTTTACATCAAATTTGCCAAAATCAACATTAAAACTGGTAGATCGAAACTATGTCTGAACCAAGTTCAGGCCAGTTCATACTAGATGCAAATGCAATTGTGAAACACATTTGATGTCACAAAATATTCTATGCAAAATTTACCAGAGTGAAACGTGTTCCACTTTTGCTAATTCCCAGATCAAATTCATTCCATGACATCACAAACTCAACTTTGCATTCGCATTCAGCCTGAGCATGAATCATATCTTTACATTGATTACTAACCCTCATGCTGGCTGAACAGTCACAGACAGTCAAAAAATCACTTCCCCTGCCATGCCTTTATACATGTACATGGCTAGTCACCAACAGTCAGATCATATTCCTTGTAGGCACTGTGATTATTTATATTCCATCAACAGACAAAAGCAAGTAACTGGTAGGTACAGCTGGCTTATCAATTACCCACAGTTAAAGCATAGCATTATCAAGTGACGTAAACAGTCACAGCCAGTCAATCCTGCTTTATGAAGGCAGGGAGCACTCAACTGTCAGTCACTCGGTTGATTTTGACTGATGGGTTGGCTTTCTTGAATTTGCTAGCCAGAGAGGGAGGGTTAATTAATTACAAATAAATGAGCAATTCTTACCGAGATCTGTACCATCCATGTGCGTGGAGTCCGAGGATAGATTATTGCTGGCCATACTCTGCTGGACTTTCAGTATCTCCATCTTGATGACCTCAATCTTGACCTTGCTGTCCTGGAGCATCTGCTGGGCCTCTGCCACCATCTTGCGGTCCTTCCCGCCCGAGGAGTACATCTGTAGCATGTTCTCGGCACCTTGCTTGACTTTCATCTCGATGGCCAGTTGCTTCTCTAAGGCTGCCACCCGGCTGTTTGGGGTGGGGCCACTTGGGCGGAGGGGACCACCACCGTCTTCGGAGGAGGAAGCCCGCCGGTGGTCTGGGGACAGTGGGCTTGCATCACCTGTTGGAGGAGAATGAGAAAAAAAAAGTGGCGTGCTGATGAGTAACAATGTTTTAGACAAAATCAGGGCCTTTTTGTGGAAGCTTCTTAATTCTCCAAAGTCCACTCAGGACTACACGGGAACTCAATGGCACATTTTGTTGTTCCATGGGCACCAAGTCCAATGTACATATACATGTTCATAATATATACATCTTTTTCATATTTTCATCCGATGTTGTAACTTGTACAGTATTACACAGTATAACGTCAACATCTTTAAAAGCACCCATATTTCAAGTGAAATACATGTATGCAGTTAGAAATGATTGGTAAAAACCAGTTTGCTTTTTTCCCTGTGGTGACGTCGGTAACATTTTGACCGTCAAATGACTGTCCCACTCTTTCTCGACATAAATGTACAATGTATTCATGTGCACTGAGGTGGTTTTTTTTTTTTAGTGATTTAGCTTTTGACAATGAACTACATGTACAACATGTAGAAATGCAGTACTGACCTCACATTTGAGGCCAATGTCCACCACCGAAAAAACAAATTGGAAATGGTAAAAAAAATCCACTTTTGATGGGAAAAAAAACCCAAAAAAATATTTAAAAAATAAAAATTAGTAAGTAATAACAAGATATTGATTCAATAATTAAACCGCAATCCCGGCGTCTGGCCAAAACTAAATAGAAAAAGGAATCACTGCACATTTCCATAAATAACCCTACGTTTTGCCTGATCCTTTATCCATGCTCATTGCTTGATTGTATGTACTGCATGTTCATGCACTGGTTCCCGTCACCCAAAATATCGTACACAGAACGGACGGAAACCAGCTGCACTACTGAGTGGGCCACAATCAATGCACACATGCTTTTCGATATTTAACAACAAAATATTTAAGAAAAAAATACAAAGCAAACATCGTTTGGAACAAGATGAAAAAGGACTGTTTTTGCAAAGTCTGCGAATTTGATTTCTCCTTCCTTATATTAATATGATATTTTTTTGTGTTTTGTAGGTTTAAAGTAGTTCATGCATGCAGGTCATGCCAGTCAACATGGCATTTCATGCTGTGCATGCTGCTAGGCTGATTCTGTATCGGCGCGCAGTACAAGCGGTGTTGTTCGTGCAAAATTTTCCTCTTTTTCAAGCTCAATATAATTGTTACGGTACATGTACTCTAACTTTTTTAATGTTGGATAACCTTACCTGAGAAAATTTTGATAAGTTTCGTGCAGAAAAACTGAATGACGTCATTTCGTTGTATTGTATTTGAATACTGGGGGCGCTGTAAAGGGCGCCCCCACAAGTTCGGATTTTTTCCAACTCGCTGCCCGAACCAGGGACCTATCAAATCCGTAATATTGGTTTTAAAAAATAACAGCCTACTTATTGTGCTGTCGTTCCTTCATAGTGTGAGCACTGGAGCTTGGAGGAAGTTGATTTTTTTTTTATTCAAGCAGTCTTTGGTAATGACAAACAAAATGAATTGAAATGAGATTATTTGCAGGAAATGTACCGCTACATGTATTCATACATTATCGGTGACTGTTGTAATTCAATGCCTACATAAACTTGAGTACGTGCAATCTGAGTATCAACTCTTCTGCACGTTGCAACTCAATGTGGAAGGAAATGAATATCAAAAATTATTCAGAAAAGCTTCATCTTACATCTTGGTGCATGAATGTACCGGTATGTGGAATGCACCGACTGCTTGATATAAAGCCAAATACATGTACTACAAATCTATATTTTTGACTAGATTCTTTTGTTTGCAAACCATATCCCAAATCAAATGGACACATGTACCGGTACATGTACATTCTTTTAGTACATGTACAAAATGGATGATGTACATGTACATGTACATGTACAGTGAACATCATGTGCAATGTACAGCACATGAACATGATGAACACATTGTATCATGTGTACGTATACGTACGTACAGTATACATGTACCATACTTTATAGTTTGGTACACTTCTTTTTATTTGTCGCTACACATGTTAAATCAAAATCTACATACATGTACATGTACGTACATGTATATTCCTATTCCAGCAATAAGCATCCGTTGGTCAAAACTGGAGTCAACATGCATGACTGGACACTGCCAACACGACCAACAAAAGGTCCGACTCAGCGTTGTATTCTCTGATCCGTTTACACAGTCACCGTGATACAAATGAATACAGAGAGTCTCGAGGATCCGAAAGCAGTGATTTGCGGGTCCTATGAATGAAATGCTGTGCAATCGTTTCTTTTCAAGTGGGCCAAAAACCCAAAGACCCAACCAGCAGCCCCGGGGCATGCGCCTTTTTTTTTGCCTTGTTGTAGAGGGGGCTCCCAAAAGTACACCTTGGATCAGCGGTGTCTGTCTGGTAACCTCCTGTTACGCAGTCACAGGATTTAGGGTTTCACACAAACAGGGGCCCTTCAGTTTACGTGCACTTTTGATAGCTAAATAATACCACTGTCACACAATACCAGTAGTAGACTTTTTCTGTAATACGGTACATGTCTTTCAGATCTGAATGTTGGCATACAATGTTCATTTTTATGTTTTGTCACAGAACTCGGTGACTACTGCTCTGAAATTTCTTAACTTTTGTTGTGTGGCCTTTAAAGGCAAGAGAATTGATGCTTGGGGCTGTACATGTACATGTACATTAAATTTGTCTTCAAGCACACTTGAATCCTTGATCCCGATTGGTCGATCCATGGCAACAACATTGTGCGGTCCATATCACACTCTGCGTATCGCGCTATTCCAAGATGCGTGCATCATTCCTGCTGCACCGTGCACGGCACGTGTCATAGGACAACCGCTAAAACGTTCTTCATGTACAGCATGCATGTTCAAACTTTACGGTGCATCAAGTTTACTTGAAGATAAATTTTTAATCCCACTCACGCTCGTGGAACACGGAAAATGTACTGCGTCTGCGTCCCACTCATGTGAGACACAGACGCACTACATTTGTACATTAGTCCGTGTTCCACTCGCGCTCGTGGGATAACTAATAATGAACACAGACCTACATTTTTACATGTATTTAAGTATATGCATAATGCGCCACCTAGCCTACTGAACAGGACCAGGAAACCAGACCAACCTGGCAGGTTTTGAAAATCATCTTACACAAAAAAAATCATGTCTCACCCCAAAAATGTTAAAATAAAAGAACGCCAACCCCAACCAAATCAAATTAGTTTCCACCCAGGACAAGCCAGTGTCATGTTGCATGGTCCCCGCTGGCTGTTTCCTAACCGGCTGTGAAATATTGCTGCACTTCCCAATTACATTGTATCTTGTTGAGGCTTAGAGTCTGAGTTGGCCAGCTCCTGACCCTGCACCACATCCTTCGGTAAGGTGAGAGGTGCTTGCCGCGCTGCGATGGCTGTGATCTCCTGTTATCACGCCTATGCACATATTTTTCTTTGCCAGACTCAAGAAATTAAAAAGTGTAATCTCCATGCTATTTTCAAGTTTCACAACAAAAAGTTTTATACTTGTTTTTTTTCCCCTTAGCGATATTAAAGTAATTCATTTTTAATCGAAAGAAAAAAAAAATCCACCCACATTTAGTTTTAGAATAATTATTTTACAAATTTTGAATTTTTTGTGGCCCAGCAATAATTCAGATCCGATTCCTGCCTCCCTTTCAGAATCGATAATGTAGGGACAGGGAACCAGTCTGCTTGCACAGCGCATCTGTTTGTGTGCCTTTTCTCTGCGTTATAGATTCTTAAAATAGAACATAAAAGTATTAATAGGCCTATTTAAATAAAACAAGCAAGATGTTTGTTAGGAGAAGAAAAACATCATTAACTAAACGTAACAAGGAAGCAAGTCAAACTTAACCCACCCCAGTCCTACAGACAACAAAAATCTACACTCCTTGAAGTTAGCAGTGCAGACAGAAAGGTACAATGACAAGGTACCGGTACCATGTGTGTTCCTTTATTCTCTGTTTCATGTTTCAATAAATATGGACTGAAGGAATTTTGAATACACATTTGCAGCCTTTCCAAGTTCTAAAGATATATCCGGGATCACTAAGCTGCCCATGATTTAATGTGCATGTGAGTGGCTTTTCAAAGCAATACCAAGAACCAATTTACTGTGCAATTTCTTTTTACTGCACTGTTAACTGCACACGTACCATGTTCCTGAATATTCACGCACCTGTGCATGCATATGCATACACAGTACATAGTACATGTACATGGGCTCCAGCTGTATAGAATTCATAAAAACATAAAATACCAACTGTTCATACCATGGAGCTGTGTTCCTAGCTCCATGTTCATACGTGTACGTACGGTACATGTACTGTACATGTACAGAAACATGTACATGTGGTACAAGGTACCGTACCTGTGGTAATGTGTATACATGTAGGCATCAATTTAAAACCAAACTCATTTGAACTTCTTCGATAGAACCAGTACATTTGAAGATGTACATACTGGTACACTGTATGAGAATGAATGTCAACTTTTTTGGCACAACAGTATTTTTTTTTATACAAAAAATGAATTAACCCAAATTCAGTCGACGATCTCCAATTGTTTGCATCCGGGCCCAGTTTACCGACTTGTTTCAAGTCTATAACCAAACAGCATCTCTTACCAATGTGCGCTACACTTTGAAGACACCCATGGTCAGCAGACCAGACAGGGACATGACACTCGATACCATCCAGAACCAAATTTCACAAAAGAAAGAAATAGATGCTATTTTTTAACGGCATCGAGGGATGAGGCATTCAGACTCATAGCGTCAATTGAGTCACGGCTTTGGGGCAGCATCCGCCTCGAGGATCGAGTTTTGAGACGATGACGCACACGTCCCCCTAACAACTGCAGACCACATAAAAGTCTTTTTATCATGTCACTTTCTGCACAAACACAAAAAAGTCCTGGGATTTTTGTTTTGCCAAAGTGTGGAACGTAGCTATTTGGTGTGGACAGCTCATAGGCAAAACACAACCCAAAGGAA